GCGGGCTGCAGGTGCGGGCGAGGGAGAGTGGGGCGGCCCTGGCAGAGGCGCCCTCCGGCCTCCGGGCGGCCCGGCGGAGGCTTAGGACAGCGGGCTGACGCCGGACGCTGGACGGTGCTGGTCCGCCGGTGGACAGCGTTGCGGGGGGAGGCCTGGCCGGAGCGGGGTGCCCGGGAGAGCGGGGGCTGGAGGTGCCTGGCCGGTCATGAGTGTGGGGCGGGGCTTCCTGCTTCCACGCAAGGCTCAGCCGCTGACCCCGATTGCTCCGGCCTGTGAAAGGCGCTGCTCTAGGCGCGTGGGACCCCTGCGGGGGCGATTACTCTCCGATCTTGGAAGTTTGGGGAGTAGGAGACTCGAAGACAGCACCTGCAGGCGGAGGTGGGCGAGCCCCGCGCCGTAGTGAGGGGGAGAGTTCCCACGATGTGTGATGACGGTCACGGGGAGGCGGAGAACCCTGGGCGGGTCCCTGGTTCTGAGCAGAGCGAGGGGCACGGGAGATGCTCACCTGCCGCGAGCAGGGAAGGGGCGGAGGAGCCTGGGCGAGCGGGAGTCCGGGCCGGCGGGGTGGGGCCAGAGGCCCAGGGTTCTTCCCTGAGCTCTGCTGCGCCTGGAGGGGACCGCTGACCCTGCGCTCACTGGCTGGCCAGCCTGGTTGTGGCTCGGTTCTCCTCCCAGCGTAGAGCTGTGGCATGGGAGGTCCCCAACCCCAGGCAGCGGCGGGTCCCTGGGGGAAATGGTTCAGGTTTTGAAGGAGCAGGGAGCAGTCCAGAGCAGGGCAGTGCTGGGGCTCAGTGTTGCTCGAGTTTGTGGCTACTGTGGCAACCACGCCCAACTGCGTTTAGGTACCTCTGCTGGAGGTTTATGGAGAAGCGGTGTTTAGGGCAATGGCAGGACTGTCTGAAAGGCAGGGAGGAATTTAGACCCGAGGAGACCTTCAGAAACGTTCACACCTCATCCACACCCACTGCCTTCACCTGAAACGAAACTTGGCCTCCAACCTGTGCACATCCCTGCTCCTCACCGTCCTCCTACAGGCGGTGGCCTGGGCCGCGTGAGGCCATGCTCTCTGACAACACCAGTGACACACTTGACCTCTCCCTTCCGCAGGCCGGAGGCAGCACCGGGCTCCTGATGGACTTGGCAGCCAATGAGAAGGCAGTTCACGCGGACTTCTTTAATGGTGAGATGCCAGCTTTAATCAGGACGTTTCTCCTGCAGCTGTGCCCTGGAGCGACTGGGTGCCATGAGTGGTTTGGATCACGGAACAGTGAAGCCCAGACCCAGCGCCATTCTCAGAACACAGCACAGCTTGTGCAGAACGATAGCGTGGCTGTTAGCACTGGCAGCGAGCCCTGCCATTCAGAGGAAAAAATAGCACAAAATTGCTCCCAGTCTCACATTCCAGGCCTTGAGTTTGGATACACAACAGCGGCAGGGTCTAGGCCATGGCCTGCGATGCAAGGCACAGGCACAGGCAGGGGGACCTGTCTGGTGTTCTCATCTCACTCTCTCCCGATGGCTGGTTTTCTCGCCTTCCCATTTGCCACTGGTCCTGCCCCGCACTGCCTTTCACAGAGAAGCAGCCACTCTGGCCTCACCCCCACCCCACCCCCAGACCATTGGTACTTAGACCTTCCATGCCAGGTACCAAGAGTGTGTGTGGTTTTACCAAAACACAGTGAAAACACTTCGTGAGATGTTCATACACATGAGAGGGGTTGGTTTTCTCGGCCTCAGAGTTTCTCAAGACCTTGCTTTTCCGGGTTACGTTGGTTCTTAGTAAGAGTTCAAGTCATCAGTAGAAACAGACGGTTTCTTAGGGGGGTTGAGTGGTGTTTTTTCCCTGTGTCATCCTTGAACTCAGGATGCCTGCTACTACTACAGAGACCTTTTGTCACTAGTTAGTGGCTGTTAGAATGTTACTTGTCACGTTGGTTTTCAGTGTACCAAAGACCCTCAGAAAGCCTGAGTCCAGGATATTTTTTCTGGCTCCTTTTCAGCCAGTCATTGCTTAAAAGGAGAATCAGGATGCCTAGTTAGGTACAGACTTCCCAGGGAGCCCGGCCACCCCCCTGAGGCAGCATCCTGGCTGCCACCAGCTCCTGTCAGAAGGTGGCGGGAAGTGACTCTTGAGCTGAGCCTCGAGAACAGAATAGCACTTGTCTCAGCTCTCAGCAAGGGGTGTGGGGAACAAATCGTGAAAGGGGTGGGCCCTCTCCCGAACCACCTGTGGGAAAGTGCAGCTCACACAGGATGGCTTCAGAGGTCCCTCACCCCAGCCCCGGAGGAGTGTGACCTCTCACACCTAACCCTGAACGACCCACTCACATTCTGATGACATCCTCTGCCAGCCCATGGCTTGAGGGACAGTGCTGTTCCAGTGTTCACGTGATTTCCAAACAGAGTTTTGATGGGAAAGCGTCTGTGAGGGGCTAGGCTGACCTGCCAAGTGAACAGTCAGCAGCGTGAACAGCTTAGGGCCCTTGCTCCCTCAAGTCAGGCCAGAGAAAGCGGAATAGCTTTGTGCCCGAGTCATTGAGCCCACTGCCTGTCATCTGTGAGTATCCTGTGTTCAGAAGCGGTCACTGTGAAGGCTGAGGGGGTTTTAGATGGGGCTTTTTCTGAATCCTCCCCGCTCACTGACTGAGGTTCTGATGGCCTGTGTCCTGCAGGCAGTGGGGCTCTAACCGTGGCCGAGGCTCATCCTCTTTGCTCACTTGTTTCGTGAGATGGTGCAGGCTGGGACAGTTCTGTGATGGGAGCCCTGGCAAAGGTGATGGCACTGTTTCCAGGATCTGACACCTGAGCCCAGGCTGGTGGGCGTGAGGGGTTAGCTGGGGTGCTCACAGCTGCAGGGCCGCTGGCCAGGCCAGGCTGTGGGAGAAGGCAGGCATTGCTGGGACCGACTGTCAGTGTGGCTGGGGAGGCAGGAATGCGGAGTGTGGGGACGTGAGCAGGGCGGCTGCCTCCTGGCACCCCAGGCCTTTCCAGTGCACAGGCCACATGAATGGGCTTTGTTTCTTCCCATTGCAGAAGGATACATGTCCTTGATAGGGGATTTAGAAAATACATATAATAGTAAGTGAAGGGAAAAAGCAACTGTGGTGTTGCCCACCCATTGCAGTAAGTAGTACGCTGTGCGTGGGTGGCATTTCTTCCTGTCGGAATTGGACTTAGACCGGGTTTCTCCAGCTTGACTGTCAGTCAGACTCCTCCTTTAAAGGGGTTCATTCTCGGGTGGCTCAGGCCTTCCACCTCCTTCCTGGGAGAAACCTTCCTTAAATAGCGTGCTCGGCGTTTTCTGTGTTCTGTGTGACCACATAATTCATTGTGAAATTACTTGTGTGCCCCACTGATGCCTGGTTCTGTTCATTATGCAGATTTTGAAGATCTCTTTGATGATGACGACATCCAATGAGGCGCCGTCCGCGGTCCTGCGGTCAACCCTTTGCTGCGTGGGCATGTGGCGCAGCCCTCGGGACAGTCGGGGTGGTTCTGCAGAGTAGGTGGGAACTCCTGGAATGCGGAGATGGATAACCAAGAAAGGGCCGTGTCAGCCATGTGGGTGAGGCCTGTGCACCTCTGAATGTGACCTGCTGCTGTCCTCACTTCAATTAAAAAAGTGATGTTACTGCAGGGTGATTCTCATTCTCACGTTTCTGAGTGAACGTCTGGTCCCTAAAGCTTCCTGTGTATGCTCACCCGTGCGCGCTGGCTGCTGCGAGGAGCAAGGTGGTGGCACAGAAGCCTGCACTGCGTCCTGTGTGCCGTGCTGAGTCACCTGGGTGGTTCGTGGAGGGGGAGTTTGTGTGAGACGGTCAGCAGTGCAGGGTGGGCAGGGGTCCTAGCCACACGGTCAGGACCCGGCTCTGGGTCCCCTCCCTGCTGCACGGTCCCCCACCCATGCGGGACCTCGTGTTTTCCTGCCTTCACCTCAGAGAAGCTGCTATCCCCAAACCTGAGGCCCCAGACTCAGAGGACAACACTCACACTGACAGTTTTCTCACTTTCTCTCCCTAATCTCCTCCATCACAGACCTGTGTGCTCATCTCACCACATCTAGAGAGCCCACTGCGGAGGGAGGCTGGGGGCTGTCGGCCCCAGGCTCGGCCGCCAGCAGGGTGTAGGATGTTAGGAGGGCAGAGCGGCTACTTGGGGAGGAGTCGGCTGAGGGCATGGAGAAGAACAAGCGTGTGCGGCAGGATCCTCAGGAGTGAGAGAACCAACTTGTGGGAAAGCTTTGGAAGGACGGGTGAGCAGGGGACAGCCATCCCCAGGGCTGTAGGACCCCTGGACTCAGGCTACCTCCGTGTGTCTGTCTACTGCTCCTTTGGCTCAGGTGGTTTCACCACAGCAGGAAACAGTTCCAGCAGGGCCCGTGCCTCAGTGTCACCTCTTCAGGGGGCTGCGTGTCCTGGGCACACACTTGGGAAGGCCTCTAATTGGCCTGCTCTCTGTCTGTCTGTCCCCTGGTCAAACAGCAGCCAGGCTTCTGGCTGAGAAGGTGGCAGCACCCGTTAGCATCCCAGGGCTGTGGAAGGATGTGCTCTGTAGGATGACACCCTCGGTGCTGCAGTAGGTGATGTGGAAAATGTATTCTGCTCACAAGTGTTTTTGGATCCCTGAAGCTATGGGTTCTAAAAGTGAGAACCCGCTGAAAGGGAGCCCTTTTCTAAACCACAGGCTATGTGGGGTCTGGTTCTTGAATCTGAGTTTGGAGGGGTAATAGTAGAGGACAGTTGGGATGTCAGCTGTGTCTGAGGAGCCTCTGGAGGAACCATGTGCTCTTCCGGCCCTTGGGCCTTGTCTGGGGCGGGAAACATTCACCTGCGCGCACCTTTGCAGCGGCTGTCTGTGCCAGTAGGAGGATGCCTGCGGCCTATAGCCGTCCTCGGGGCTCGGACCTGCTGGGAGAGGAGCCAGGCCTCTGAGCTCTTGGACGGACAGCGTCTGGGCTGGGCGCTTCCAGAGCAGGGCACATTTTTGAAAAGGCAGCGTATTGACTTTAGAAACTTGACTGCTGTGAATTCTGCCTGGAGCCAAGATGAGAAAGTGCTGAGGAAGATGCTCAGATAAAAAGCCCCTCTGTCCCTCTGGAACTGGGCCTCTCGCCTGACTTAGGACCCGAGGAGGCTCAGAATTCAGGCTTCTACAAGGGCAGCAGGGACCGGGGCCCCGCCTGGCCTGCCCTGCACCCTCCCCGGGGACAGGTGAGCATTTGAGGCCACCTCTCCCTGCATCACGCCCAGCACCTCGCCCAGGTCAGTGCTGGGTGGTCACAGTCCAGCTCAGAGGCCTCTTAGGTGCCCATGTGTGTCGGTAATTGTCACACCCCCTCCCCGAGTCACAGAATGAACCCATAAATGTGTACAGGCTCTCACCTGTACTGCGTAGTGTTGAGAGGGAGCGTACTGCGCCTAGCAAGTGGTCAGGGGGCTGGCAGGGCAGGGCGGTGGGGCCCAAGTGAGCGAGCTCCTGACCTGCTGGATGACCCTGCCAGAGGGACAGCGGGTCCCCCTGTCCCTGTACCCAAGCAGAGGAGTCACAGCAGGTGTTCAGTAAATGTCTTAGTGCGAACAGACGACAGCCCGTGCAGTGTGGGGACATGGAGGGTAACCGCGTACTGGGTCCCGCTGGGCTCCCCACACAGGTGCGTGGTGGGCGCCAGGTCCTCAGCAGGGCCTCCGCACTCACACAGGAAGGCCTGGCAGACCCACAGGTGGGGTCGAGTTCACCTGAACGAGGTGAGCTGGGCTGTTCAGAGATGGTGCCTCTTTCCAGCTGGGCTCAGCTAGGGCCCCCCTGCGCCAGGGCAGCAGCGGTGGACTTGCACAGTCGGAGAGTCGCTTGTGGGTGGGTCAGTGACGCTTCCTGCAGGACGGGACCTCTGGGGACCAGGACGACCTGCTCCCACCGCAGCCCTTGGGCGGTGCTGGCTCGGCTCTGCTTGTCCTCTTTCCTCTTGGGTCAACTTTAAACTGTTTTGCTGAGACTTAATTTATCATGTCCCTTGGAAGTGCTCACTGTCCCCAGCTGTGCCCGGCGCAGTTAAGTCAGTGTTGAGATAACCTGCTGGAACCCGCTGAGACAGAACCGCGAGCCTGCGGACGAAGCCACATCCGGAGAGTGAGCTGTGCTTTCTCCTCACTTAGCATCTTGCTGACGACCGAAACTGTCCCCAAGGTCCACTCACTGAAGGCCAACTCTGCGTCCAGCACTGTGTCCTCAGCACGTCCCGAGGTGGGTAGTGCGCTCAGGGTGCAGATGAACCGTGACCTCACTGAGGACGGGGGAGCAGGACACGCAGGCCCAGGCTGAGGTCCACCTTCCAAGACTTGCTTCCTGGAGGAAGTTATGTAACGTCCCTGCCCCCGTTTTCCATCCACACAAGTGAAGGTGACGCTTAGCTCAAGAAAAGATTAAAAATTTCTGTTCAGCAAAAGCTGCCGTGGAGGAATCATCCATCTGTCCTCTGCAGACCGAGGAGGACAGCACCCACAGGCCTGTCTCACCCGTGGTGCTGAGGGAGGAGCCAGAGGCCAGGGCTTGGTTCCGTTTGTGTGATGACCCAGCGCAGGCAGAGTTCATCCTGGGGATGCAGGTCAGAAAGTGGGTGCCTCGGGCTCAGTGGAGGTGGGCAGGGGAGGAATTCACTGGAAATGGGGGGGATGGTGACATGGTGCCATTTAACCATCAACATTCATCAGAACTAGTGCTTAAAACCTGTGCCCCTGCATCCATGCACGTTGTACATCGATCATCTTTTTAAAGGAAAGTGTGTTGGCAAATGCCGGCACCCATCTAACTTCTGTCACGTGGAAGACAGGGCATTTCCGTTACCCCAAACCAAACGTTCCCTCTTGTGGTCAAAAACCTGCCCACCTGGCCCTGGCTTGACTGGCTGGAGCGTCGTCCGTACAACAAAAAGCAGAGGGTTCGGTCCCCAGTCGGGGCACATACCCAGGCTGCAGGTTTGATCCCCGGTTGGGACACATGGGGCAGACACTGGAGATAACTAATCAATGTTTATCTCCCTCCCTCCCTCTCTCAAAATCAATTTAAAAATACATATCCTCTGGTGAGGATTAAAAAGATAAAATAGCAAAAACTGATAATGGTAAGTTATACCTCCTCCTCCTAAAAACAAACAAACGAGGATGCCACCCTCCCACACAGGGCCACGGCCGTCCTTGTCCTGTTGAGGGAAGGCACCCGGCAGAAGGTGGGACAAGTAGGTGCCTCCCAGTTTTTGAAAGCTGACCAGAAGGGCAACTCTCAGCCCTGGAAGAGGTGGGCCGGGAAACGTGAAGCACCGGCAGTGTTGGCAGCCGCAGACAGACCATCTGCAGAGACCAGCCCGAGCCTACCCTTACCCAGCGAATGCCCATTTCTCAGTGTCTTAGTTCCGGCTGAACTCCTGCCCTCCGCAAGATAGGGCGGATCTCGTTGATTCTCACGGAGTCTTCCCCAGGCCACCCCCGCATCTCCACCAGAAGGGACTTCCCCAGGGAGCCCACAGCTCCCCCAGGGAGAGCGAAGCTGCCTTCCTCACGGAGCAGACGCTCCAGCTCCGAGCTCCCGACCGCGGTGGTGGTGCAGGATCCCTGGGCCTGGCCAGAAGCAGAAGGCCAAGGAGATCTTACGGGAGGATGGGAGGTTGGATCTCGAGTTGGTAATACTGCCCAACTGTGCTCATTTGACAGAGCTCACAAAACTTTACAACTTAATAAATTATAGCTCAATAAAGCATCAGGAGGGACATTCCAGTAAGAGAAATCTACAGCAAACATGATATTTAGCAAAGTATTAAAAGCTCCTCCCAAACACACACACATTCAGTCTAAGTTAAATTTTTTTATTTCCATTGTTCCAGGATTATTTGTCAAAAAGACTCTTCTTTCTCCACCTCAACACTTTTCTCAAAGATCAATTTACCACTTATATGTGGTCAATTTCTGGGTTCTAGTACATGCTGTTCATATATAGTATATTCTGTTTATAGAATACACTACATGTCTATCTGTATGCCAGTCTCATGCTGACCTGATGACTGAATTTACAGTAGGTCTTCAAATCAGGTAGTAGACACCCTTCAATTTTACTTTTCAAAAATGGTTTTGACTCTTCTAAGACCTTTTATATAAAAATCTTAGAGTAAGATTTTCAAATTCTAAAGCCTGCAGGCGTTTTTATTGTGACTGTTTGAAATCTATAAGTCAATTTGGAGAGAATTACCATCTTAACATTGAGAAAGTAACCCATGAACATGGTTTATCTAGTTTTCTTTCAGCAGCGCGTTGTATTACTTAGTGTTTGCCTTACCAATATTTTCCAGTCTTCGGGATGAGCACTGACAACAGGCCAGGGGCGTCTCGCTCAACCCTTGTTGGGCACCTGAAGCCCTTGGCACGTCAGGTAATGGCCAGTTTGGAGACTCCTGGACGTGGGAGCCCAGTGCTGTGGTTCCAGCCCCGAGGTGCAGTCTGAGTGGGAGCTGGGCTGGAAGGCTGGGGTTCAGGTGAGGGTCACGGAGACGGGAGAGGTCAGATGCGCGTCCCTGGAGTGGCCGCCCCTCTGCGTGAATGTGGCATCGCACAGTATTCGTCTGTCGGGGAGCCCGTCCCCTCCTAGGTGACTAGGCCGCCGGCTGGGTGCTCAGGCCTCGGCAGTCGCCGGAGCCCATGGCCTGCCGGGCGGGTGGTTTGCGGGGCGCGGAGCTGCGCCTTAGT